AACTCATCATATTTATTGACAAGCTGGTAATAAATCACATAACATCATATAACATCATGATCTTAACCAACCAACACAATTTAAAGATCAAATGTATAATTAATAGCCACGGTTGAAATCAGTATTGAGAGGACATAAAAGAATCCTGTGATAAAATCACCAGCAGGGGAACCTCCCTTCTCCTGAGTAATTGATTCTGGAGAGAGTAAATAACAGAAGCTAGTAGGTACCTGGGATCTGGACAGAGCAGAGGGATGCACAAGCTGCTGCTGATGCTTTCAGGCTCAGGCTGCATTTTGACGCAGCGTCACTGTGAGCAGTGAAGGGTTGAGAGGGATCCCGATTAGAAAACAATACAACCCACAGATCTGTGCCTGAGGAGCTACTGTTGATTCTTCTTAATGTATTTGCCATTTTTAATCTTAACAAACAACCTCGAACTTGGAAAGGGATACAAAGCCAATGGTGGGATAATTGGCTCCAGTCCATTTTAGTCTTTGACTCAGATCTATCCTGAAAGTCTGAGAGCAGAGACCTCTTGACAGTGGTCAGCACTGGCCTCTCTGTTAAGAGCCTGAGGAGACTTGTATTTTTGTTTCCATGAGGAATATTCTGGAACAACTCTGTGGTCAGGGCTGGGTATCATGATCACTGAGTAGGGGTGTGGGAGGTGGGGATGAAGAAGGCGTTACTGGGGCAGATAGACGTGTAGTTTCTACTGCCATAGCCAGTGAGGGGCTGTGGTGATACCAAAGAGTGAATATCTGTGTCCTCATCCGGAGATGCAGGTCAAGGAGATGGTTTGTGGGCCCTGAACCTAGGGAGATCTGGGATAGTCGTGGGATCCTCCAGTCACCCTGCCAATGTTCCCCTCTGGAGAAACCCCACAGATGGACTATCATCTGTGCACATATGGCTCACATCATGTTGGCTGAAGGCAGGAAAGGCAGGCTCTGGGAAGAAATACAGCTTGCCTTCAAAGAGACTTCAGTATACTTGGAATGAAAGACCCATGCTTGAGAAGCAAGCTTTGCAAGCAACATGGGATATATTGAAACTTGAGAGTGAGAGGCCATCAGGATCAATCTCCTCTGGTGGTCCATGCTAATCCCTCTACCATGCATACCTCCTGTCCTGTGCTGATGGGGTCGTGTGTTGTTGCTGCTGATCTGCCATCACCCCCTGCTACAGAGAGCCACTGCATTATTTAGCAATGTTTTAGAGGGGACAGGGGCTAAACTGGGTCATGTTAATGTCTAAAGACCTGAAGAACATTTGAAGACAGTTCACTTCAAATTCATCACAATGGTTTGCTAGGATCATGATGAAACGAGTACCTGTAATGGTGATTACAGTAGAGGGAATCGGATGTTCTCTAGCATGAACTTTCCTGAAGACAGGTTGGCCTAGCAAAAGGACAGGCAGAAAGTCAGCAGGATGCATTGCACAGGTTTGCTAGTAGAGCTCTGTAGAATTAGTAAGCTAAACATCACACTGAGATGCACACATCACAAGCAATGTTAGAGGACTGAGTGCTCATAGGTCGCACCTATGTAGGTTGCAGAAGTGAGAGCTGAATAGCGCAAGTGTTCTACAAGCCAAACCAGATCATGTGAATGAACCACACATGCCACAGTAGGGGGCGCAGCCAGATTCCTGCAGGTTTCTGAAATGGAGTATTCACACCCTCTAAGTTTCTGCTTCCAGAGGCATCATGAAACAATGGAAAGCACTTGGTGCGATGAAAGGTAGCCTGGTTTTCCTATTGGTGCCAACAACATAGTCCAGAGTAGGCCATTTCCCCAGTTTTTTCACATGTGGAACAAGGACAACAGTTACCTGCGATGTCTACATCACAAGTTTGTTTGAGGGTCAAATAACATAACATCTGGGAACATGTTATATATTTCCTGGGGATTGTGAATGGGAGAAGGTTGTCATTGCAGGGTACACCATGGTCAGAGCAACTGTTTGGATTACCTAGGCCTAGGGTTTTCATCAAACTCCCGGTTCAGTTGACCACCACATCTACCTGCTCTTGGCTTCTAGTAAGAGCTACCCAGACCTGACCTGGGAATTATGAGATTGAGGACTTGGTTTCAACTCTGTTATATGCTTGCTGTCTAAACTTGACCAAGGCACTTATCTTCTATGGGACTTGTTTTTTTTCAATTTTAAAATAAAACTGAACTTGAAGGGGGTTTGTTATTCTAACCTATGTGCTGGAGTGATTAAAGCTTTTAACTGTGAATTTTCATAGTTTGGCTTCCTTCCATGTGCCTAACTTAGTCTATTACATGATGAGCATAATGTGATTGGAAGACTAGCTTTTAAAAGAGGTATATTGACTGTTATACTTTGAATTAATTAAGGAACTCCGCTGCTGCCTAAGGAATCAGACATGACTCTCTCCTCTCCGAACTGAGCCAGAATACTCAATTTTATTAAAAATATATTCAAATTATGTGGACCCTCTTTTGGGGTCCCCCTGGTTTTTCATATGCCGATGGCATTTATGAAACAGCTGGGCTTTGAATTGAAAAGGGATGACGATGCAGGAAGGAATGAAGTGGTTAGGAGAAAGGAAATAAAACTGCTGGGATCGGAACACTCATCACATGGCCTTGGACTTAAGTCAGAGGGCCAGGCCCTGAGTCCTGATGTGGGGTAGATTGATCAATCTCTTTGTATCCTCATTTCCTCTCCTATAAGTGAGAATAATAACATCTTCCTCCATAAGGTTGAGGATTAAATGATATAATAAACAAGAATTACTTTACAAACTCTAATGAGCTATAATGAATAGGGTTTTATCATGGAAGGTGTCTGAGGGTCAAGGGGGAATGAGCTCATAGGACCAAACAGGAGCCTTTCAATGAGGCAAGCTCTGGGAGCAACAGGTAAAGATTTACAAATTCCAAAAGCACTCCAGAGCTTAATGGCTGCCACTAACTAATGAGATCTCTGAAATATAGGTGCTGGGCTGTGCACCAAACAGTTCTTTAAATTTCAATATATCCTGCTTCAAATTTAGATTTTCACACTCAGCTGCATAAGACACATAAATGCCACAGGCAAAATCCAAAGGCTAGCCCTGGCCAGTGTGGCTCAGTTGATTGGGTGTTGTCCCATGCACCAAAAGGTTGCTGGTGTGATTCCCAGTCAGGGCACATGCCCAGGTTGCAGGCTTGATCCCCAATTGGGGGTGTGCAGGAGGCAACCGATGTTTAGCTCTAACATCGATATTTCTCTCTCTCTCTCTTTCTAAAAATCAATAAAAAAATCTTTAAAAAAATCCAAAGGCTAGATTAATTCCTCTCTACTACCCCTGTATCTCAAAGCCTTGCCTTCAAAGCCTCAAACACACTTCAAAGAAAAACTCCTTGGGACTTAAAGCTGCTTTAGACTGCGGAGACCAAAGTCTCAGAAAGTTCCCCAGGAGCATCTATAGATTGGATCCCAGGCATTCCAGCCTAGTTGTGGAGAAGAAGGGTCATGTAAAGGGAGAGGCCAATGTAGAGATTCCCACAAAGTTCTGGAACTCTCTCTTGTTCTAACAGCATCAATTTCAAGTCTTGGGAAGTGGTGGTGTCAACACAAAAACTGCTATGTCAGATGAAAGTTTCAGAAACAAGAAAGAACTTGATGAAGTACATGAAATGGCAGAAACCTTCAGAAGAAGTGATTCTGCCCTCTTGGATGCAAGATGTGTCCAAGGCAGCAAATGTTGGACATAACTGCATAGACACTCCAGAGCTTTATAGGAATAGTTTCTGAGAAAAGAAACTGGGATCCAATTATCTAGATACTAAAAGAGAAGATGTTTCAAGTGATATGGAAGGAAGACCCTCAAAGCCAAATCCTGACACATTCAATGTTAAAGGAAATAGATATCCAAACACCTCAATGCATTTTAATAAGGCATTCGTTCTACAGCCAGAGATTTTTAGTTCAGGTCTCATTATCAGACCGCATAGGGCTGAAGGTGCTGCTTTGTACTATAGTATTTCTACAATAGTTGACTTAAAAAATTACTTCAAAGAAGCCATGAAGCTCAACTTGCCCAAATTCTACCTTCCTCAAATCTCACCAGGATAATTAACATATTGGGTGACAGAAACAGAATATTTCCAAGAACACTTCAAGGAGTTAAAATGGTGGATGAGGAAAAGAAGATAAAAATTTTAAAAAGAAATGGAAATTCCTGAACTTGGATTTGAAAACAGCATGTATGGCCATGCAGAACTGGGAGACTTCACCTGGAGAACTTCAGATGAGTCAGATTTAACAAATCCTCTACCAGGACTTGTCCTGTTTAACATTTTTATCCTTTTCAATTTCTATGTCTCTGAGAGTCTCTGAGTCATTTTGTCATTAAATACTTTGTCTGGAGAGAGGCAGAGGAGAGTAAGAGTCCATGTGAAATTGCTCATATTCAGAAAGTTCCACTTTGGACAGAATCATGTTGGAGCTACTGAATCATGAGTTTATGCTCACAGTGGTTGAAGTTAACCCTGACTCTCACGACAGCATTTTCAACATTAGAATATTTGGCAATATATTCTTAAAATTTTTTTTTTAGCTATCTGATTTCAGGAAAAAGAATTAGAATACTAACACCTACACAGTATATTAGACGTTTGATATTTATCTCCCTCTAAATCTGCGTAGACGATTTTGAAAGGATGAGGAAATATTAAGGATCAAAAGAGATGATGCTGTAAGGAAATACCTTCCTTCCATATACAAGAAAATAGCTTTAGAGTTGTGCTAACCAACGCGGTCCACACAGGCTGGGTACCAGTCTGAATTTAAGGGTTTTATACGTTTTGACTGGCATTTTCAGTTTTTGTAGAGCATTTTGTAAATGCACTTTAAGCGGTAGAAATATTACTCATTAATTTACAAGTGTTAATAATGCTAAAAATTAAGTCCCCAAAGAAGGGTTTGTCCATATTGGTGTGGTGGGATGATGGGATGGGTCTTCTCCCGACAGAGTATTAGTTACTATTAGTATCCTGAGCTTGGGCCATGGAGAAGTCTTAGATGTCAACCCCTATGTTTTCTTGTCTTAGTTACTCTGGTACATTTTGGAATATCTAGCTGGGGACACTTCACATCACCAGGGCTATGTGAACATTTGTAAACTGACCAGTGTCAAAATGTGAACAATTATAGGATATTTTAAATTTGCGTGTAAATGAATACAACACACATGTTGTTAGTGTGTAAAACGTTGAATGTCTAAAATCAGCAAGAACACACCATGTGCGACAGCTAAGTGTTAATATACAGGCTATATAAGATGAGGCTTTGGTTTGGTTTTTAAGGATATTTGAAGAAAATGAGGAACATTAAAAAATTATCTTACCATACAGGCATTTTCCTTCATTAAAAGAAAGTAAAAATGACAAATGATTTTTAAAAAATGTATACAATATATGGTGAAAACAGACAGTAAAAAGTAAAATTTGATGTCATTAGACTTTAAAAATTCATACCTGTTATTGTGAAGCCACCTAAAAAAGAAAAAAATAAATAAATGTTACAATTTATTTAAGTCACACTCTAAATAACAAATATCGGTGATATCAGACTGTTTGATGACCCATCCATGGGATAAAAACTGGCCAAATTATATTTACAATTAAGAAAAATATGAAAATATTTGTTCATGACTTAATCACTAATCGTTCTTTTAAGATTATAGGATTTAGTGCACACATTTAATTCTGTGCATGCATAAGAAATCACTGATTTTTCAAAAGGTTAAACTAAAACTGGAATATAAATCTGACCTTAACAAAAATGAGGCCAATGGGCCTAAACAACAATCTTACTAGTAAATCAATAGAAATAAAAGTCAGAAAGCTATTGTATCACCCGACAGAAATGGAAATTAACCTCGAAAAATGGAAAGGAAATGCAAGAAATGAAATGCTTACCAAGCTCATTCAATAACAGGGCTGTGAAGGAAACAGACAAAGACAAACACAGAATAAGAGACCAGATGAATAATGAAAGCAAGAGGAATATCAGCAGAAAGAAATCCAGGCAGATCTGATGACAGTGGTAGAGAGCCACTGATAAAAAATTAGTGCATCCCAAAGAAATGTGGCATTGGGAATATTTCTACATAATCCCAACACGAATTTCTGCAAATGTGTGTGATTGACTAATATACATGTATATATATTTCATTCTATATATTATTGCTTGACATTTAGTCAAACATTTCTACTATCTATGCTTATACAAAGTGTATATATCTAGTTTACCAACTATAGTAGGAATATTTTATGAATTTAATCCTAAACTTTATTTGAGTGAGTCTTTTCCTGAAAAATTGCCTGGGAGTTAGTTAATTCAACATATGAAAGTCTTAAATCATGCAGGATCTCAGGCATTATACCTTTCATTCAATAAAAATAGATAAAACATCTTAGGAAATCTCATTTTGGCCACCCTTTTTGAAAGGACACTTTGGCTCAAGATAAAGTTCTCTCTCTGTAGGTTCTATTTGCATGATATTTTGGCCAACAACGAATGCTTAGTTTTTTAAGTCCTCAAAACTCAAATCCCAGGAATTAGTGCTTATTTTTCTGTCCTTACCTATGACTTCTGCACATTGTAATTGGACAAGCCAGAATGCTTCTGTGGACACCTAATTCCATGGAAAAACCGCAGGGCGTTGTGTGTGTGTGTGTGTGTGTGTGTGTGTGTGTGTGTGTAGGGGGAGCATACATAATTTATCTTTCAGGTTATGTATTTTAAACCCAGACTATACTGAAGCACTTCATTTTGTTGAAAGCTATCTGGATGAAAGTATCAAATAAATGACTTCCGGAGTAGTAGATGGGGATGTTACAATTAGTTTTTCAGGCCCAGTTTTCCTTCTAATGGTAGTGGCATTAGAAGATACTTTCTAAAACAAGTCAGTAATTTTATTTATAGTAATAAGAATCTACTTGGCGGGTGAAAAACTAGATAGTGCTATTAAGGAATTTTAATTTGCTTTTACATGAGGGCATATTTTATTGAAATGACAATGGAAAGAACTTTATCTAAGATGCGCTCCCTTTAGGGAGGAATTCATTGAGAAGTAAGTGCTTCTTCCTGTATGTTAATGAGGCATTTTTTGATCCCATCTTTGTAAGAAATCAGCACAATTTTCTAAAGTGTCTTTTCCTTCCGCCTGCTGTCCATGGAACATATTAAATAGGCTGAATTAAAATGGCTCCCCAGTGATCCCCCCCCCCCTCCTTATTCCGAAGGCTTCTGTTACCATTTTGAATGTGATTAAGTCAGGAACATAAACTTTTTTTTTTTCCAAAGGACTCTGAGGACACCAAGTTCTTACAAATGTGGGATTAGTTCAATTCCTATATATTTCATTTTTTACATGTAAAAGTGTAAATTTCTTCAAAGTGGTCTATCTAACCAATTGTTTCTATGCAATTAATATGCAGTATGCTAAATTTATACATATAATTAAATGAATAGGACTCCTTTTTAAATAGCCACTATTAGAGGATAATTATAGGAAGTCCTCAATAATTCAGAAAAACATTTCTTTAAAGCTGATATAAAATTCTTACCCTTTCTTATCAAATATAGGGCACATAAAATAGATATAAGGTCAAAGAGAACAAAGAAATTAATTGATTTCTTTATTCAAATATTTTCTACATCTATAAGTACAAATTAACCAAAAAAAATTATTCTGAGGATATGGCTGCTTACTCTTTTCTCTTTACTATACATGTTAAAATTTGTCAATTCTATAAAGAAAGAAAGGTTTTGGAGCATAAGACTGGGTAGGCCTTAAGCAAGGGCTAAATTCTTACTGAAGGACCATTCCCTTCCTACTTAAAGAAAATTTATATGATTATGGTTTCATACATATGGTCCCTTTTAAATGTCATATTTGATCATATAAAAATAGCATGCCCAAAGAGCACTAGAATATTGATGCCACTACTCTTTAAGATATTTTATTAAATATTTTTTTGAAACCTGGTCCTCTGAAGAAACCTATTTATTTAATTTTTTTGAAATTTCCCATTCCTTGCCATTAGACACATTTACCACTGCTAACAGGTATTAAGTAGTCTTTATCACTAACATTTTAGGGGAGATTTAATAGTTGGAACCACATTTGAAAATGACCCCTGAACAGTGAAAAACTAAACACATGAATCATGCTTTTATAATTTATATAATCATTTCTGAGTGCCAGAAATCTCTTCCAGCATTGATTAAATCTGGTTTCGGTCAAGGTTAGTTGGCATTTCCTGAAGAAAATGGGGGCAGAGCTTGGTGCACTTGTTAGGGAAGGAAAATGAAACTGCTAAAGCTTCAAAGGAAATGAAGTATAGTACTTGGAAGCCGAGGAAGAGGAGAAAGTTAAGTGTGAGAGTAGGGAGACACGGAGAGAGAAGAGTACAATTTCTCGCTGGTACGTCTTTGTATACTCTCACACCTTTCATTCCTCTTCTTATCCATATTGGTTCCTCAAGCACAAGGGAGAATTTGCACTCTTTCTCATATTCCTCACGGTCAAATATTTTAATGGTAATGATCTTCCTGTGGGAACACAAGACAAAGGCAAAACAAATGGTTGGAGTCACAGGCTCATGCTAGGTGTTCACCAAGCCGAATGTTAACGGTGATGTTATGGAGGGAGAAATGGCAACACATGGACCTCCTGAAGTATGTAAAAGGGCATCTTGGGTGCTCTCAGCTGGCCCCCGTTGTTTTCTTTGCTAATTTGTCACGTTCACAAATTCTTCCTGCTCCAATTGGCAGTCAGGAGATACCCCGAATTAGGAAGAGAAATCAGAAAGTTGGCTTCATGTTGGCATAGCAAGCGACTGCTTCAACTCTCCCAGAAATGGAAGCTTGATTGACTGCATTGAAAATTAATAGCTCAAACTTATAACAGGCAGAGTGGCCAAAACTGGCCAATGGAGCTCCAGGCAGGCCCGAGATCTATGCCCTGTTACATAGGGGGAGGGATATGTGTGTTGTAATCATGGTCTGAAGAGTGCAGGCATCCAGGGTGGCACCGGCCAGCAGAAGCTGTTGGGCTCAGCCCTGGAGCAGCTCCCCCACCTTTCTTCTCACTCATCTCCACCAGGCGGGGCTCTCCAATCTCAAGGAAGAAGGTCTTGTTTTTCTCATACTCCTCATCATCAATTACCTTGACTGATATTGTTTTGCTGAAACAGAGAAGAATAGAGATTGACGAACAAGGGCAAGAGGAGAAGAGAAGGCACATAAAGAAGAGGAAAGCAGGTTAACGAGCTGCACTTCTAGTCAAACAGCAACTGAGAAACTTCTGAACTGTGAATTTTTCCTTCGAGAATGAGCATGGGATAGTTCTGAAAGATCAGAGAGGGTCACCCAAGGCGCAGCTCCCCTGGCCAGGGCCACAGAGTTATTTCAGGCAAAACAGAGCACTCAGTACTAGCAAGTTTGTCCTCATCATGAAAAGGAAAAGCAGAAGAACACAGACCACAATAGTAAGAATAGAAAAATATATTTATTTAGTCAATGCCTTAACTGTAGAACCATCTGGGCTGTGCTATGGAAATCACTCCTTTAGAACAAATCAATCAATCACATCAAAATTTCAACAGAGCTTATCTCTGAGTGTTAGGCTTATGGCTTATATTTTTGTCTTCTTGGTGCTTTACTGTATTTCCCAAATATAATATTTTCAATATAAGATTTTATGGAAATAATAAATGTATAAAAGCACCACAAAAGAAAAGATAAAGTTCTTTATTTTACCCCACCCAATGCCCTAGAATTAAACTCTTACTCAGGTTAGTCAGATTCCCCACCAAGATCACAAGGGAAGTTGCTCATGCTTTGTCTTTCCAAAGATGGAGCTGAAGCCTTTCCACAGCTGTCTTGAAAAGGGGGGGTGGGGTGAGGAATTATGATGTTACAGCTATTCTCATCCCTCCCAAAGTTGAGTTTCAACTTTCACAGAATACACCATTTACCCTACTTTGCAACCCACTGACATAGCAAGGCATTTCGTTAAGAATTCTTCCTGTAACCCATCCTTTACAGTGGTTCTCAACCTTCTGGCCCTTTAAATACAGTTCCTCATGTTGTGACCCAACCATAAAATTATTCTCGTTGCTACTTCATCACTGTAATGTTGCTACTGTTATGAATCGTAATGTAAATATCTGATATGCAGGATGGTCTTAGGCGACCCCTGTGAAAGGGTCGTTCGACCCCCAAAGGGGTCGCAACCCACAGGTTGAGAACCGCTGCTTTAGTGCTTCTGGTCTTGTGGTCTTCTGGTTGTGAGTAACTGACAGGCAGGTGGGGCAAATGCTAATATTATGCAAACTTAACTTCCCATAAGCCTTGATGATTCTAAAAATTAATGTTAATTTTCATGTATTACACCTTACTCAGAGCTCCTATACACTTGTCTTTGAAAATATGCTGTGTGTTTGTTTGTTTTTCAGTAACACTGGCCAAAACATTTCTGACTAAAGTTTTTAAAACAATGCATTTATACAGACACACAGCCTTAATGGCATGGACATTATTTACCTTGGGATAAACTGAGTAGCTGATGAGTGTGAGAGATATAGGGACCCACACAATTTGTATAATAAAATAAGCACTTAAAATTTATCATTACAGCATCACTATTCACTAGGGTCATAATCCTTAAAAATTATTTCAGTATTTGATAACTGTGACACTGGAAAATCAAAGATGAAGCAAAAGAACACAGTTCCTCTGTGGCTGCCTGGCAAAGGTCCCTAAAACAGATGGGATTTGCATAATGGCATATCATTTCAAAATCATTAGTTACACAATCAATAGGGCCCCTGGCAGGAGGAACCATTACATTTTATATTGATTTTTTTTCTACTTGCACAGTAAAGCGATTAATTGAAGTGATTATTAAAGGACATGCCAATCAATTTAAAGAGGCAGGATGAAGCCAGTCCTTATGAATTAGTCCTCTGGATCGAGACAGGCAAACATCAAAAGGGATAGGTAATGTCCACCTTTGGCTTCAGAACAGAACTATTTCTTCCCTCAGCAAGGATAGCAAAGGTAAAATAAAGTCACATATATTTTACAGGGATGTCTTTTGCTCACTTTCCAAGCCTAATGTACAAAAGAAACTGCCACCCCTTCTTCCATCACAGGGGAAGTTAGCTGAGACGGGGCTGAGTTAGTGAAGACGCCATTACACCGTCTTGGTAAAGAGCAGAAGCACGCCTCTGTTCCACCCACTTGTTCCTCACAGTGCTGCAGTAGAATTAGCACCCGCCAGGTCTGCAGGGACCTTAAAGTGCCTGTGTTGCCACACCAATCCCATCTGCACAGGGCTTTTGCACTGTCACAGGAACCCTCCCTGAGAACACAGATTCACCTTGTCTTTTCTTTTGTTCTGTGAACCAATGGGAAGCAGCAGATAGCATTTGCTATTTTTTTTTAAACTGAACAGTTAATCTAAACAAGACTAGAGCAGTGAGGAAGACAGCGCTTCAACCAAAGACAACTCTTGCACTCTTATCACACTGGTAAGGAACACATAGAATACTTTTTCCTAATTACTATGATAAAGGGAAGAAAAACTTCTGACTTGATCTTTTTTTTAAAAAAAATATATCTCTGAAGGTGAACAGTGTGTAGTATAAAAATTATGTTTTCTGGAAGCTAGCAAGTCAGTTACAATACATTAAGTACTTTCTCACGGTGGCCAGAATTTTTACGGAAATATTTTTTGGTTCCATTTCTGGGGTAGAAAAGAATTTGGTTAAGAAAGATCAAGTTATTTAGTGGAAACATACAGGTCATTTTTTTATTTTTATTTTTGCAGTGCCTTTCCTTTGATGATAGTAAACCAATATCTACACTCTACTTCTCAGCCTCTCTTTTACCTGATGGGTCTCAAAAGACCTAAGCACCTTAAAACATTCTATCTATGAGTTTTTCCATCGAGTGGTGACTCAGGCAGGTGGTGAGAGGGAAAGAGGTGGCTTTATTTGTGGGAACTAACAAAGAAAAATCTTTTCAAAATATGTTGTGGTCTCTCATTAAGCTAAAGTTGCAGCAATCTTTTATTTTTTTTCCAGTTTCAGCTTCAATTTGTCCTTCAGTGGTTTCTTTTCCCCAAGATTGACCTTAATGTTGGCAGAAGTGAGAAAAAGATGAGTTGGAGGATTAAGCAGAAGAGAATCTTTCTAAACCCTCATGCAAAACATGTTAGTGAAAATTCACATATTTAGATACTGCAATGGCTCTTTTAAATTTTACTTTATTTTTAAGATTCAGCCTCTCTTTAGGCATACTCAGAGGTCCATGGATTGATGGGCGCTTTGCATTTCTGACTTCATCTGTCTTTCTAACACCCCTAGAAATACCTTCTACTACTTAAAATTGATGGAGGAAACAGTGACTCAGAAATTAAGTGATTTCCAAGATTACAAAGTGAGACTCCTGTGGCTGGCTCCAGAGAGCAATATCTTTCAATTATGTGACCCACAAGGTCACTTACTCATTCAGCTGTGCAGTGTTTTTATGGCCACTTGAAAGGAACTGGATCATTATTTTAAATTAATATGGAGGTTTATCGTTCTACCTTTATGTTAACAAAGACTGCCTGAATGGACCACGATCAATTTTCAATTCTATTTTTAAACGGAGGATAGCACATACTAGATCCCATGATGGCTGTCTTAAAGAGTTAAATCCTTGAAGAGATAAAGGTCCTGTTAGGCTCACCAACTCTGAGGCTTTGAGCAGGTGGCTTGTTAGAATTCCAGACTCTCAGGGCCCACCCCACAGCCACCAAAGCATTCTGCATTTTAACAAGATCCCGGGATCATGCCTGTGCCTTTTAAAGTTTGAGAAGTGCTGTCCTGGAGAGGGCAGTGGGTTCTTAAGTGAGATAATGAATTAAGAGGCTGGTAATAGCTGGGCTTAGGTTTTGGAACCGTCTGCATATTAGAATCACGAGTGGCACTTTGAAATCTGTAAATGCCAGATCAGTGAAATCAAACTTTTTGGTTGTGGGGCCCCAATATGAATATAGTTTTTAAAAGTTTTCCAGGTGATTGTAATATGCAGCCAGGAGACTGGCTAATGGAGAGCCAGGATATACAGCCTGATGTTTAAAAGAATGTATTAAATAAAGAATAGGTAGAGTGTGAGGACGTCAAAACTAAATTATCAATCTAGGCTGAAACATGGGAGAAACAGTTTGTCCCTCACCGATGTTCTTCTCTGGATTATATAGAGTACTTAAAGTTTTTGTTTCTCCTCTTAGGAAATACTGGTCTCCACAGACAACAGGTGAGAAAACTACCTTTAGCCTTCAGGTAACAGACTTCACATTCTCAATGGCCACAGAAGACAGCAATGCTGCATACCTTCCCCCTCTCAGAGAGCCTCTGAGCCAAGTCAGTGAAAGGCCATGTCCAGGGAAGTGGAAACTTTTCCCACCGCACTCAGACTCAAGAGAGAAGTGACTCAGGGCTGACCACATACAAAGGAAGAAGATCTGGTAACTTCTCTGACCACAGAATGATGTCATCAGGTAAGGCAAGTTTGAAACTTAATCCCCAGTACACCTGATGTTAAAAGCTTCAAGGTAAACTCCTATGACTCAAAATGACAGATAAATCAACTAAAACATTGGCAAAGAATCTGAACAGATGCTTTTCCAAGGAAGATAAACAAATGGCCAACAAGGACATGGAGAGATGCTTAACATCATTAGTCATCAGGGAAATGCAAGTCAAATCCACAATTAGATATCAATCCGCACCCACTAGGATAGCCAGAGTCAAAAAGGCAGATAGTAGTAAGTGATGTGAGAATGTGGAAGAATTGCTGGTGGGAAAGTAAAATGGTACGATAGCTTTGGGAAAATCTAGCAGTTTCTCAAAAGTTGAAAAATAGAGTTACCATATAACGCAGCAATTCCACTTCCAGGTATATACCCAAGATATTTAAAAACATATGTTCACACAAACTCTTGTACATGAATGTTCATAGCAGCATTATTCATAACAGCCAAAAGGGGGAAACAACCTAAATGTCCATCAACTGATGAACATATAAACAAAATGTAATATATTCATAAGATAGAATATTATCCTATCTAATAGAGAAACATGGTAATTAGCCGTACCTCCGCTCCCCTTCCCATTGGCTAATCAGGGCGATA